AATCAGGGGTACCCTGAGTTCTCATAATTCCTGCAGCCCGGTCATCCCAAAGCACTGTCAAAACGCGGACTTAACCCTGAGCCTAGACCCCTAAACTGCCGTTTTCAGGCGGCGCACTACTTGTGGCCGCCTGACACCGTGCACACGTGCTCATGTTCCGCCCAGTTCCTCTCTGCGGGAGAGGCGGACGTCCACATGTGCAGCACGCGACTTCAATCTCCTGAAGATCGAGGTATGCGCCTCTGTGCTCCTGCCACCAAGCAGCATCTCGTCGTTCCCCCTGCATGCCTGCGCCTCCGCGTCCCTCGTGGCAGGGTCGGTCAAAAGAGGACCCATACGTGCGTGAAACAGTCTCATCTGCTCATACACTCGGAGGTATCGAGCGCCTGCCCGATCTCCCCCCGTCTGGGCAAGAAATAAGTTGTCGCACTCCTGCACAACCTCCAAATCCTCTGCTGTCCTCACCCTCGCATCGTAGCACCGAAGATAACGCCTACGAGGGTTGAGGAGATGTGCCGCGGCGTGCGCCTGCTCCAGCATATGCTGGCGACGGGTGAGGACCTGATCGATGCAATCATCGACTATCTCGGAGGGGATCCTCTTTCCGTCCTGCAAGAGTCGCAACTCATCTACCACACGGCGACTCCAAGAATAAACCAGGGACATAACCATCCCGCCCCTATCCAGCCTCCTGAGCAACTGGTGGATCGGAGTCATCACCACGTCCCGCCAAAACAATCCGTCGTGGATAGTCTGGCGCACCCACACCGCCTGGTCAACCAACCGAGACTCCCAGGGAATGTTGTCCCAAGCCTCATGGTGCAGCATCGACTCAAGCGCGTCTCTGCGCCCCTTTAGGCAAAGGAGCATCAAAAACACATACACGAATCTCGTCTCCACAGGCTGAACAAGGGATTTACGCTTGCTCTTCGACCTGAAAAGCTAAAGAGCAGCGCCGTGGATCTTGATAAACCGCACCAAGGCGCTTCCACGAAGAATGGCCGAGGAAATGTAGTCTACCCGGGTCCCTATGTCTGACAACATCAAATTGTAGACGTGGGTGGCGCACGGGAGCCACGTGATACGACGCAACTCTGGGTCAGCGTCCTTTGCAAGGAGCTTTGCAGCTGACGTGTAGTTGGACGCAGAGTCCGTGCAGATCGCCAACAAATGACTAGGAGGGAAGGACCTAAAAATGGACTTCCATCTCCTCAACACTATCTCCCCCGTCTCAGGGACGGAAGCATCTTGACACACGGCGGCATATAGAAGCGCGTCATGCTTGCCAGCGGCAAGGAAGTTAATGATGGGCCGCAAATCTCTGAACCTCGTGCCATCTGTCAAGGTGGTGGCCCCAATCGCCTCGGACGATGCGCGGACATGCGCGAGCCTGGTAGCGACCCGATCTCGCTGCTCAATAACCCCCCCCCCCCCAATCTCCTTGTGACTTGGATACATCGTCCGTAGTCCACGTGGCAACTCAGCCACTGCCTTGCGGTGTCTCCTCCAAGAGCTCCTCCGGAAAGCACAAAACGGGATCCCTGCGTCATACACCCACTCCAAAAACGTGCTCCTCGTCCGCTGCTGAGCGTCACCATCATACACCTTGTCGATGGTCTCTGTCTAGGTCTCTTGTGCCCCTACGTAGGAACGTCATCGTCGACCTCATCGACATGCATTTCCCCTCTCTCTCTCTCTCTCTCTCTCTCTCTCTCTCTCTCTCTCTCTCTCTCTCTCTCTCTCTCTCTCTC